CATAAAGTTTTAATGTTGTTTTCATTTCTGTCATTAAGTTTGTCACGAGTTTTGCTACACCCAGCCTATATATATAAATGGCTACAGTGACGCGCTGAGTCGATTTAGTCATGAACTTCTGTCTGTCTATATGTCTGTATATATGCGAACTAGTCCCTTAGCTCTTGAGATATAAATCTGAAATGTCTCACATGCTTTTCTTAAAGAAGCAGCTCACTTGCCGGAACCGTCGATATTGGACCACCATAGCCTATATGGTAGCTGTCAGACAAATATACCAAGCAAGACATTTTTAGTTTTGTTTCGATAACTGAAAAACATAGGTTAGTAAATAACAAATTTGTGAGGACAATAATTGTTGTTAAATGAGGAAAAACAAGACTTTTGTTCCGAGGTGATTCTTAGCTGTAGATCATGATTTATTTAAAGTACGGATCGGGGTTAAGGCAAAATAAGCATCAGTTCAACTCTAATGAAACTCTCTTTATGAACAGATCATATATCAGATAATATGTTGGATACGGTAAAATGGATTTTTCTTCTCGGTATCGGACTAGACTAATTTTTTTAAGTAGCCTCCAAAATCAAAATATCAGCATTTCAATTTCGAAATTGAGTTTATTGAAAACATTATTATTTTTAGGAATTCAGACGCTGTTATTCGCGTTTTCCTCTCATTTCAGAGTTGTGTCATATTTGTCTGTCAAGCTCATATGACAGTTGCTATAAGGGTTCAAAATCGATCCTTGAAAAAAATAAAAGTTGTATATTTTCTTTAATTTAAGGCTCTTCTAAGAGAAATTTTAAAACTGAAACTAATGATGGACAGTTTTCAACGAATTCATTCTATGATCTCAAAGCATTACAATTAAGCTCAATTCGGCTAAATCGCATGGAGTACTATGCAAGAAATAATTTTCGTAGCACAATCGAACTCGAACGTAATATTATGATTTCATATGCTTGGCTTACTAGAAAACTTTCAAAAATTTTATAGTCCTACTATTGGAGAAAGTATTTAAATGGTATTTGCTGAGACCTAATTCAAATCCATATATGTTCATATATTAGTTTATTTACGAGTAAGTCATACAAAAAAAAAAGATTTGTAATTAAGTATACCTATATTGTAAGTCATCATCTCTGTGGTCAGCTGCAAACGAAAATTAGCAATTAAGTCCCACTTTCATACATACAAGTATATGTATTCATATGATAATAGCACGTTTCCGACCATTTACCAACACATGCATTCTCAATAATACGCGCTACCTCCAATTGCGATATGTACTCGCTGTTGTGGCAGGTGGTAAGTGGTACTATGTAGCAAGTCACAAAGTGATAAGTGGCAAAATGAATTTTCCACTTCATTCACTTATATTCTAATGACTGACTTTATGGAAATTACACATGTATAAGTGTAATTGATGTTGTTGTTGTAGTTGTAAGCTTATAGTTAACCGCGCTGATATTCCCTGTATTTTACTTTAACCAGCTTTCGCATGATTTCGCTTGTTACTTCAGTGTTGTGGGTTTCTTATGTACTAGAGTTAATATGTATAGACTTATGGGTGTATGTGTATAAGCTTACAAGGTATGTACGTGTATGGTAGCTATCTGATAATGTAATAATTGAAATTGCTGTTAACCAATTTCGTGTTGTAAGCCAATGTAACTGTTGTCTCATGAGCGTTCACCTTTTATCTTGCTTTTTAACTGATTTTAAACACGAAAAGTCTTTAAATTCTTATATTTTATTAATATAGAAAGTATTGGATATAAACATTCAATCCCCAACTCGGTCAAATTTAAGTTTGCCACGAGGACTATAACACCCAGATGGAAACCTCGGAGACCCTATAAAGTGTATATAAAAACAAAAAAAAAACGTTAACTTTGGTTGCACCGATGCTATAATACCCTTCACATATACAAAGATTCCTTATAATAACTTGATTCCGATCTAATTTCGTTAAGATGCCTCGTCAAATAAAAAAGTAAACAATTTCTTCGGAATTTACATTGTTGCCTTAGAAAATAACTAATGCCAAATTTTGTGAAGATATTACAGTAAATAAAAAAGTTTCCCATACAAAGACTTGCTTCCGATCGTTCAGTTTTTTATGGCAGCTATATGCTTTCCGACAAATGAGCAGCTTCTTAGTGTGAAAAGGACAAGTACAAAATTTCAGATCGATAGCTTAACTCAGCTGATCTTGCTGATCATTTATGTATATATTTTATAGGGTCTCCGACGTTTCCTTCTTGGTGTTACAAACTTCGTGGCAAACTTAATATACCCTTTTTAGGGTATAATTATCAGCGTGACGAGCTGAGTCACCTTAGCCATGTCTGTGCATATGTTCGTCTATACTCGAGCTAGCCCCTCAGTTTTTGAGACATCGATCTAAAATTTTCCACACGTCCTTTTCTTTCCAAGAAGCTTTTCATTTGTCGACAATGCCGATATCGCACCTCTATAGCATATAGCTGCCATACAAACTGAACGATCAAAATCATTTTCTTGTATAGAAAACTTTTCATTGGACCCACTATCTTCACGAAATTTTGCATGGGTTATTCTCCAAGTTAAATTCTTCAGATCAGATTACTGTTGCATGTAGCTGCCATACTAACTGACCAATTACAATCAAGTTCTTGTTTCGAAACTTGTGTATTTGTGATGGGTCGGATTTAACGTTTTTTCTGGTTTTTATTGAACTTTTCAATATAATTTCAGCAATTAAATTAGTCAGATAAGTGACAACCCTTCGTAAAAAATGTATATGTATAATTGGCAACCTTTTAAACCTAATTCTGATACTCACATTTTAGAAAATCGGTTTTGCTTTAATTTTTTACTTCAAATTTTTAACAGGTGGCAACCCTTAATACAAATACTATTATTTGTAATATATTTTCAGTTTGTTAAATTAAAAAAACACAAATTATAATTTTCTTTGGTCTTAAAATGTTCAAGCCAACTTATAGCTTTTTTGTTATAAACCATTTGAGAACTGTGGCGCGTAAAAAAACACAACGAAAATTATCAATAGTTGTATTGGCAATCTATATAATTGTATTATCGTTCCACTACCACTTCTAAAAAAGTTGAGCCACAAACTTGTTATACATTTAGGAATTCGGTCCGGTTATAGATTTCGTAAAATATTACAAATCAGAACATAAAACGTTTGCAAGAAGATCCCAGCGCTGATTGAATTGTAAAAATGTTTGCTTAAAAAAGACCGCAAGTGTTAGAAATACTAAAGATATCAGCCCACTTTTTATAATATATAAAATATTCAACGCATAGTGACAATCTGCTCCTCGTCGAGCCACCCGAGTCATAGTATTCACAAGTTCACTGTTTCTATCTAAATATCTAAATGTAACACTGTTAAATATCTAAATGTAACAAAGGTGCCAAAATTTCGCACTCAAAACTCAATTGCTGCGCACAAAATTCACAAATTGTGTAACGGCATTGCGGTAAATATACATAACTGCAACCTTTGACATGCCAAAACTGTTCGATAACATTTGCATACTCTTGAGTGTACGGAACCGCGAGAGAGGTTGCAACCTACAGCAGCACTTTGAAATGTTAATTGAGTTGAAATCACCCATTACCTGGTCATTTCAGCGTTCACTTGATATTCACAGTGTTACATGCATACATACAAATAGAAATATGTGATATTTAGGTAAATTTTGGGCGCGGTATATTTGCACTGCTTTTAAAGTACACTGATTAATACAGAAAGTTAGCAAATGTAATTTCTACTAGCAACGATCATTTTTACATATTAAAAAAATATAAAATTTTTTAACTAAAAATCAGTCTACGGAAATTTTATGCATAATAAAATCATTTCGTTTACGATAAATTTAGATTTTAGTATGAAATTTTTGCGGATAGTAGGGGAATTCAGCCTCAGAAATGGTTCAAACTTTAGTAAAATGCAAACCGAACAGTATTTAGGCTTGTTTCCGCAGTGCAAGAAAACAGAAGGCTATCTCTCTTCTTACGTTCTCAATTCTGCTCTGTTTTGCTTTTTGTTTTTTGTGTTAAAAAACCTTTTTCCAGCAAAAAGAAGCAAGTGATAGTTAGCCCTTCACAAATAAAATGTATAACTCCAAAAACCCTCGTCTACATAAGCATAAACCTAGCACAGCCGTTTTTCACAAGCCTCTGTTGAAGCGAATTTTTCACCAGCAGAATCATTCGCCATAGACAAGAACTGGTAGTAATCACTTGTTGCCAGGTCCGGATGCATAAGAACCTTCAAACCAAGCTCCCAGAGCTGCTGGGGAGCGACTATCGATTCCCGTGAACTGATGGAACACAATTCCTTTTCTGTTCTCCAAAGCTGGCCACTTCTGTGAAATTGCTTCCTTCAGACACTCCAATTGTTGTTAGTACAGGTCCAAATTATGAGTTTGAGTGTAAGGGAGCAAAGATGATTTCCCGCCAATCCCACTAAATACATAGCAAAACCTTCTGAACTATCAATCCCGGCTTGGCCACCGTTTGCGCCGGCTTACCGCGTTTCGATCATGACCGTTTTCGCTTGACATTCTCAGCAATGAATCGATTTTGTTGCAATTGAGCAACGATTCGCAGATTGAAATGCGGTCTCGACGATTTCTGTAGTCTTATCCATATTTTCCTCAATGAAAAAGTAGTTTTGAGATAACTAATTCAACCAACTTTTTATATAACTTCACATTAATTCTTAGAATAAAAAAAACTTTCAATCCTATATTATAAAATCAACGCCCGCGAGTGGGCAATTACACTAAATATAATTTCGCAATCTACTATTATAAGCGGATAAAATCCACTTACAAAAAATAAAAGGAAAACGAGTATTGAAAATAATGCAATTCGGTTTTTGGTATGCTTTTAAGCAACTTGATTACTTTAAATTGAATTTCGCAAAGTTTTCATTTCAATATAACGTTGGTTTTTTTTTTTTGTTTTTTTTCGTTCGCAGGACATTGACTACGATGGCTTTCGCTGCTTCCTCGATGCCTTTCTCGACTGCGAGACACCAGTCGACTTGGCCAAACATCTATTCGTTTCCTTCCTCAAACCGAATGTCACACAGTCGCAGCTGCACGGCAAGGCGCTCAATCAGATGGCAGCCATTAGCAGTACGACGGCGTGTGCGGCCGTCACATCGCATACGAAGGGTGAGTCAGAGCGAGTTAATGGTACTAAATGGGAGGGGCAGAACAGACTGCAGGCGTGTGCAAGAAAAGTGAAAGCGCAGCAAGAGCCATTGACTATTGCAAAAGTGTCACTTTAAATTGGCTGCAATAAATATATTCTATTCCACATTTAATACATTTCCTTTGGCTTCCTTCTATTCTCTCTTTCCAATTTGTTTTTTTTTTTTTGTGTGCGGCCAATCAAGGCTCCATACCGAATATCAGCAGTATTGCTGAAATTGCAGCGCCAGCGGCGAGCGAAGCGCGTCACACCTTCGTGGAGAAGATTCATGGCATCACCGATAAGCTGCACTCATTGAGTGGCCATTTGACACATGATCCCAGCAAGACGGGTGAGTCGTGGCAATGAATGAACAATTTTGTTTAAATACTTTTTGATGATATTTTCTTGGTGCAATTCAATTTCGCTTGTTGGCTCATTTTTATTTCAATATTCTTTTACTTTTGTTTTGTTGCTTTCTGGCTATTCTAGGCAGTGTACATCCGATGGTAACTGTTACGCCCAGTCCACTTGCGAGTGGCCCCTCCATATTTCAGAGCAGCGCTGTGGCGCGCCGTTCCGTTGATTCGAGCCCATCGCATTCGCAAGCGAATCATTCACAGATGTCACGTAACTCATCAAAGAAGAGCAACAATTCGGTTAATTGCAAAATCGATAGTGAGTACAGACATTTAACTACATACTTATTCACGATATTAACTTATATATGCACATATTTGGTACATATACCGTTAACTATTTAAAATTATGTAAAATTAGTTACCATCCAATTTAATTGGAGACAACTTGTGCTTAGCATTTCTTCTAGCTAAATAATATTTTTTTCCACTGAAACCTAATTAGTGCTTTTTTTAAAGAATAACACCACAGCTACTTAGAAACTTCTAAATAATCTTATTTGGCCTAAAGTCTACTTGGAAATTGTCTTATTTGTAGTTGACAGCTGACAACGCTAAGAAACGGTGTCATAGCTTTCTGTCCAAAATGTGTTCGATAAGTGGCGGAGCGATCAAAAAGGTCTTAACTACACTTCCACCATCTTTAAATAAAAATGAAATAATCGGTATGTTCCAGCCTCCGACGGCGCTAAAATAAAGGTCCTACACTGCTTGGCTGATTTCGGCCTTCTCTCTGGATGAAAACTAAAAAAATTCTCTTCTAGTAGATATTGTCCGTCTGTCCGGTGGTGATCGGATCATTTGTCTCCTAGTAATCACTAAAGCAAATTTGAATAATGTAGCGGTTTTTTTGACAACTAATATTTGATTTATACCAACACATAACCGCCCAGCAGAGTCGGTAATTCGTGCAACCATGGATTGCTTTCGCACCACGCTTACTCTAGTGGATAATGCGCTTCCTCAGAGAGACATTACAGTACGCTCCGAAGATGCTATTGCTGCTGTAGAGCAGAGTATCGTAGAAGACCCGAATGAGTCCATCCACCATCACGCGCAACAATTGGAGCTATTTCCATCAACAGAGGGAATCACTGGTCCACATTTCTAAAAAACGGAAGCCAGTCAATGATGAACATTATAGAGCCATAATTAATTACTTTTTCTGGCCTGTTTTGAGGACATTGATGTGAACGATATAACCATATCTCGCGTCCTGGGCCTGTAGCGTGGCCTATAAGATCGTACGATTTAAAACTGCTGGACTATTTTTTGTGGAATTATATGAAATTGCTTTTCTGCAGATAAGCCCGCGACGACTGACATCTTGAAAGAGAGAGAAATTCTTGATGTTACAATTAAATCATATGAGTTTAATGTCTTCTTGAAGAAGAGAGAAAAACACCCTTTACAAATATGACGTAACGTGAGGAACAAAGATCTCGAGAATTGACAAAAATGTTGACTCTATATTTAGCCTTAAAGCATTGATCAAGAAGCTTGGGTGGTCTCTTCCGGCTATATGTACAATCTTAATTTGGAGGTCCGCTTCTCTCCACCCGTCCGTTTTAAACCCGATTTCAAGGGACAGAGTGCCCCATATACAAGAAAATATAATAGATTTACTACTCTCCGAGCAACTTTGCTTTTTTCTAGCTCTCTTTCTGCTACCTACAAAGTCACAAGTTTCAAAATTCAGTTCAAAATCATCAGTTTTTATTTTCACATTATTTCCATTTTACAATTTTTGATTCATTTATTTTATAAAATGAGATATTTCTAAACCGTGCAGAAGATTTTAAATGCATACGAATCAAGCAAAGTTTAGCAAATTCAGTTTCGGCAGCTGTTTTGAATCACCATTCACGCGAAGGCATGATGAAAGAGCCGAAACGGCAACAGCAACTACAACTACAGCCAACAGCACAACAGGCACATCGAGGCGGCGTCAACCACGTAATTGTGATCATGCGCGACTGGGACTCTCTTGTGAACCGGTCAAGCTGAATGTCTACGATATATTACGAATAAATGAGCTTTCCGCTTACATCGGACTCGGTGTCTTTCATTCGGGAGTCGAATTGTATGGCACCGAATTCGCTTATGGCGGCCATCAATTTCCATTTACGGGCATTTTTGAAATGTTGCCACGTGATTATGCGGATCTGGGTCCGAATTTTCAATTTCGGCAAACGATACAGTTGGGCTGCACACAATTCACCAATGAGCAGGTGTATCAGATTGTCGAGGAGTTGGGTCAGAAATTCACTGGTAATTCATATCACTTGATACACAACAATTGCAATCACTTCTGCGATTATATGTCACAGTTTCTGTGCGGCAAGGGTATACCCAATTGGGTGAATCGTTTGGCAACAATTAGCGGTTATGTGCCGTTTTTGCAACGCTTATTGCCACGCGATTGGCTGACGCCACGTAGTACGCTGCACGAAAGTGTGACCATAATGGATAACAGTAATGCGACTTCTTATGCGAATGTGTTGAATAAAGAGAAATGAATTTAATAAAAGTTTAAATGTTTATTGAATAACAACATTTTTGAAAGTTTCAAAAGTTTGAAAAAAAGGGATACTTAGTCTGACTTATGTATTTTGGCGCGCAAGCCTTTCCATAGTGCCATAGAAGCTAATAAGGTAGATCGTTTTGATGGTTTTCGTTAAACGATGTTTTTTTTGTTAATATAAAAATATTTATTCATAATATTGAAGAAAACTGCATTAAAACTTTGTTTTAACCGCATAGTTGCATAATTACATTATAATTACCGTTTACTGCAATTGTAATTAAATGGAACTCTACACTATTTCTCATTGTTCTCAAAATTCAATATTACTGTTAACAAATACAATTTTAGTACAGGTAATTTAAATTTTTATGATTAAAATTACTGCAATTATAATCAATACATAATTTAACATTAGTATTACGGCAATCTTAATCATACACTTAGAATATATTTGCGCAAGTTTCAGTTTCCGTAATTGCTAAATTTGTAGAATGAAAATTTAAATACTCGTAATCGCCTTATCTACAATATTACCTTACGTTTATTACGATTATAGTAATCATTACTAAAAATTTCGTAGATTAATATCAATATCAATTTTTTGTAGTTTCCGTAATTGTTAGTTTTTGGAATTGAAATTTACTAATCGAATTAGTCATGATTACGATTACAGTAATCATTATGAAAAATTTCGTAGATTAAAACATTGGTAAAAGTTTCAGTTTTCGTAACTGATAATTTTTAATCATTACCAAATGTTTGGTAGATTAAAACATCTATTTGTTATATGTTTAAGTTTTTGTAACAGCTAGCTTTTGGCTTTGCTTATATGATTACAATAAGAGTATTGGTAATCGCTTTTACTATTTGTAATCCAATGTTTAATGACTGCGTTCACGGTAATCATTGGCATGCAATTTTCTTTGTTCTCATTAATTTTATAATAATCACAACACTTATTATAAGGTTCGTCAAGTGATACAACTAATCTTTTAGTGTAAATTAAATTTAAATCATCAGCGTTGTAACTACATTACTACAAGTGAGTTGGAAGTATTGTAAGAACATGTACTTTGCTAGCTTAATGACATTTACTTGTAATATTATGGTACACAGACAATCAAGCACTCTTTTTAGAATGTCTCACCACATTATTAAAACTTCACTTACGGCCAGAACATCATTATAAAAACAGATCAGGGATAGGCCACTTGGTAATAGTTTCCTCTATTCCACATTAATATATTTATAATTTTATTTTACTAGAGAGACACACTAAATAGACTCGCATATGTGTAGAAAGAACTATTTTCGCTAAAGTACTTAACAGTGTTGCCTCTAGCCAGAAAAATATAATTAAAATATATAAGTAGAGCTGTAATCAAATTTGACCCGAGCTGACAAAAAAAAACTAAATTTTCACATATTTTAATATAATTTTTTATTATCGCCTTCAAAATAGGCTCCTGCGCCAATACAATATTAATCAAATTTTAAATACCCTTGTTATAAGCCTCGGTTCGGAGGGTCTGCAGTGGCTTCAGTGAATTTGGGCTTTTTCGATTTCGGCTCATTTTTGAAACACCATTTCGTAAATTTTTGGACAGTTTTGACGTCTAATTCATAAACCCACGTCTCGTCTCCAGTTTTTGTGAATTTTATGAAGTTAAGGTTCTTAGCTTTTTCGACCTCTACTCGACATCGTTTTTGCAAAATAGTCTGGCCTTATGATACGAGTAACGCAATGACATACCCAAAACATTAAACAAAATGTGTTGAGTCGATGTCAATTTTTTCAATGTTATCGTCATTAACAGAGGTAGATGAACGATTCGCATGAAGCAAATTTTTGTTGACTTTACGACCATCACTGGATCCTTAGTGCCACTCAGATACTTGTGTTCGTGATAAAGTAAACTCCCCAATACAATCCTGCAACATTTTCAAAGATTCCGTTACCGTGATTCTATCAGAAATGAAAAAAACACACTCTAATTGGCATGTGGAAATCAAACAACACACGAATATAAAAACAAGGTCGTACCGATTTAGAAAAAAATAAATAGTCCATATTTTCTTGTTAATATACTATATTTACTACATTTACCTTAAATAGTTCCGTCAGCAAAATTAATGCAGAAATAACACAATTTCCCAATTAATCAGTGTTTAAGTATATTTAGATTGAGCTGTGATTTATGTAGTTCATCTACATCATAGCTTTTACCGTTTATGCTTACAGATTTTGAGTGGCGTCAACAATCTCACGACAGCTTTAATTTCTATTTACACTTCAATTTTTTGTCACAGCATTAATGTGATACGTCTACACGTGCAACATACTCGTATGGCACAGAAAGTCAACGCGCCTACAAATACACATTCACGAATATTCAAGCAAACGATATAATGTTATAAAAAAGATACCATACTCAAATACAAGTATATGCTCATACATATATATCGTTCAAATTTTTCAGACTTTAACGCCACTGTCATTCAGAGAAGCTGATGTGTAGGCGCCAAAGAAATGTAGGCCAAGATAGCGGCTGCTACTTTTTACCAAAAATGCTATTAACCAAATGCATCTACGAAATTGAATTTCATCATAAACGTCTGTCGGAACAAAAACCCTATACTGTTAAAAACAAGATTCCCCTTAATGTCTACGTGTCTCTCAAGAGAGTGCTATGCATTTGAAATTGATCTGCCGCACAAACGCACACATGCAA